GCCCCCCCAGCACTGGAGCCCCCCCAGCACCGCAGCCCCCCCGCACCGCAGCCCCCCCAGCACTGGAGCCCCCCCAGCACCGGAGCCCCCCTGTTCAGGTGCTGTTGAGCTCTCACCGGGGGGGGTACCGGTGGCGCGCTCCATGCGGGACTGGGCCTGGCTCTTGCTGATGGGCCGCAGGACCTGGGACTCTGCGCGGATGCGGGGGTTGTAGACCTGCAGCACAGGGGGTGAGCACAGGAGCCCCCAGTGCTCCCCAGTGCTCCCCAGTGCCTCCATGCTGCTGGGGCAGCCACCAAGGCCTGGGGCAGGTCCCGTGCCCTGCACACATCCCCCAGCCTGGGTCTGCACTGAGCGCATGACCCAGAGCAATGATTCCATGCGGGTCCCTCCTCAGCATCACCATGGGCTGTCCCTACCTCCAATCCCACCGCATCCCATCCCACCACATCCCATCCCACCGCATCCCATCCCATCCCATCCCATCGCATCCCATCCCATCCCATCCCATCCCATCCCATCCCATCCCATCCCATCCCACCGCATCCCATCCCATCCCATCCCATCCCACCACATCCCATCCCATCCCCACTGCATCCCATCCCATCCCATCCCATCCCATCCCATCCCACCACATCCCATCCCATCCCCACTGCATCCCATCCCATCCCATCCCATCCCATCCCATCCCATCCCATCCCATCCCACCACATCCCATCCCATCCCCACTGCATCCCATCCCATCCCATCCCATCCCATCCCACCGCATCCCATCTCCCCCATCCCATCCCACCGCATCCCATCCCATCCCATCCCATCGCATCCCATCCCATCCCATCCCATCCCAGTGCATCCCATCCCATCCCATCCCATCCCACCCCATCCCATCCCATCCCACCGCATCCCATCTCCCCCATCCCATCCCACCGCATCCCATCTCCCCCATCCCATGCCATCCCACCGCATCCCATGCCACCGCATCCCATCCAACTGCATCCCCATCCCACCGCATCCCATCCCACCGCATCCCATTCCAGCACATCCCATCCCACCGCATCCCATCCCACCGCATTGACCGCATCCCATCCCATGCCATCCCACCGCATCCCATCCCACCGCATTGACCGCATCCCATCCCATGCCATCCCACCGCATCCCATCCCATCCCATCCCACCGCATCCCATGCCATCCCCACCGCATCCCATCCCACCCCACCCCATCCCATCCCACCGCATCCCATCCCATCTCACTGCATCCCATCGCATCGACCGCATCCCATCCCATGCCATCCCCACCGCATCCCATCCCATCCCACCGCATCCCATCCCATGCCCCCCATCCCATCCCACTGCATCCCATCTCCCCCACCATCCCATCCCACTGCATCCCATCTCCCCCATCCCATCCCATCCCACCGCATCCCATCTCCCCCATCCCATCCCACCCCACCCATCCCATCCCATCCCACCCCATCCCATGACCCCCCCCCCCCTCACACTGCGCAGCTCCAGCCCGCTGTCGATGACGAAGCGGACGCCGCCCATGGAGAAGGAGGCCTCGGCCAGCCCCTGGCTGACGAGGACGCGGCGCCCGCGGCCGCCCTCCTCCAGCCCCTCGTAGATGCCCTGTGCGGCGCGGCCCAGGCCCGGGTGCAGCGGCAGCACCAGCAGCGGGCCCAGGCCCGGGGGCAGCGCGGCCGCCTCCCTCCGCAGGGCAATGCAGGCCTCGGTGATCTCCTGTGGTGGGGACAGGGTGAGCAGGGCCTGGAGCCGGCAGGGACCCTGCATGGCAGAGCCCAGCTCCTGCATCCCTGGGGTCAGGGAACCCCAGCATGGGTTGGGATGAGGGGACCCTAAAGCCCCTCCAGCTCCTGCATGGCAGAGCCCAGCTCCTGCACCCCTGGGGTCCATGCTCACGGATGAGAGGGGTCACAGAGCCCCAGCATGGGGTGGGATGAGGGGACCCTAAAGCTCCTCCAGCTCCTGCATGGCAGAGCCCAGCTCCTGCACCCATGGGGTCCATGCTCACGGATGAGAGGGGTCAGGGAACCCCAGCATGGGTTGGAATGAGGGGAGCTCCTCCAGCTCCTGCATGGCAGAGCCCAGCTCCTGCATCCCTGGGGTCCATGCTCACGGATGAGAGGGGTCACAGAACCCCAGCATGGGTTGGGATGAGGGGACCCTAAAGCCCCTCCAGCTCCTGCATGGCAGAGCCCAGCTCCTGCACCCCTGGGGTCAGGGAACCCCAGCACGGGTTGGGATGAGGGGACCCTAAAGCCCCTCCAGCTCCTGCATGGCAGAGCCCAGCTCCTGCATCCATGGGGGGGTCCATGCCAGCACGGGTTGGGATGAGGGGACCCTAAAGCCCCTCCAGTCTGCATGGGCAGAGCCCAGCTCCTGCACCCCTGGGGTCAGGGAACCCCAGCACGGGTTGGGATGAGGGGACCCTAAAGCCCCTCCAGCTCCTGCATGGCAGAGCCCAGCTCCTGCATCCATGGGGTCAGGGAACCCCAGCATGGGTTGGGATGAGGGGACCCTAAAGCCCCTCCAGCTCCTGCATGGGCAGAGCCCAGCTCCTGCACCCCTGGGGTCAGGGAACCCCAGCACGGGTTGGGATGAAGGGAGCTTAAAGCTCCTCCAGCTCCTGCATGGCAGAGCCCAGCTCCTGCACCCATGGGGTCAGGGAACCCCAGCATGGGTTGGGATGAGGGGAGCTGAAAGCTCCACCATCCCCAACCCCTTCCACTGGAGCATCCAAGCCCCTGTGTCCAACCTGGCCTTGAGCACTGCCAGGGATGGGGCAGCCCCAGCTTCTCTGGGCACCCTGTGCCAGCGCCTCAGCACCCTCCCAGGGCAGAGCTCAGCCTCAGAGCCCAGCTCAGCCTCCCCTCTGATGGGTTCAAGCCATTCCCCTGCCCCATGGCACAGAGCCCCCCTGCACCCCCGGTGCCCCCACCTGCTCGCTGGCCATGAAGAGCAGGACGTGCCCCTGCTCCTGCCGCCGGTGGATGTCCAGCACCGCCTGGCACGCAGCGGCCACGCGGCCCTGCCCCGGCGGCTCCCGGTACAGCAGCAGCGGGGGCTCCCCGCGCGCCGGCACCCGCACCACGGGGGGGTCCCCGCAGAAGGCGCGGAGCCGCTCCTCCATGGCCAGCGAGGTGACCACCACCACCTTGAGCGCGGGGCGCTGGCCCAGCACGTCCCTGAGCAGCCCCAGCAGCGCGTCCGTGGGCAGCGTGCGCTCCTGCGCCTCGTCCAGCACCAGCACCCCGTACTGCCGCAGCAGCGGGTCCGACGTCATCTCCCGCAGCAGCATCTCGTCCGAGCAGTACCTGCCATGGGCCGCCCCGTCACTGACCCCCCAGGCGCTGCCAACCAGGCCAGGCTGCATGAAGGGATTAGCCTGCAGCCGGCGCTCAGCAGGATTAGAGCCTGGTGCAAGCGGTGCCGCAGCGGGGCCGGTACCTGAGGATGGTGTCGCTGCTGCAGCAGTCCTCGTGGGGCACGCAGTAGCCCACCTCGTGGCCCAGGTTCAGGTCCATCTCGTCCGCCACGCGCAGGGAGAGGCTGAGGGCGGCCAGGCTGTGGGGCTGGGTGCAGGCCACCAGCCCATGGGCGAACTGCAGGGACAGGGCGTACTCCGCGCACCACTGCGGGATCTGCAATGGGGAGGATGCGGCTCAGGGACCGGGACAGAACGGCCACGGCCACGAGCACCGGGACATTCCCTTCCCTTCCCATCCTGAGTCATTTGAACCCCAGCCTGGTTTGTGTTGGAGGGGACCTTAAAGCTCCTCCAGCCCCAATCCAGCCCCAGGGACCCCTTCCACTGGAGCAGCTCCAAGCCCCCGTGACCAACCTGCCCTTGAGCACTGCAGGGATGGGGCAGCCCCAGCTTCCCTAGGACACCTATCCCAGTACCTCACCCAGGGCAGTCCCCTTTGGGGCCGTCCAGGAGCACCCCACAGCCCAGGCAGGGCTTTCCCCTCTCTATTATCATCACTTCTGCACCCAACAACCTGCAAATGAGCCCCAAATCCTCCTCACCCCACGCCTGCAGTTTTCTGCCGCCTTACAGCACGCAAGGGCCCCGGCTCTCACATGGGGCAAGAGCTCTGCCTCCACCTCCCCAGGGAGAACAATGTGCCCGGCCTGGGCAGCGTCAGCAGCCAGCCCCATGAGACCCGGACCCTGCAGCAGCTGCAGGCCGAGGGCAGGGGCTCGAGCATCCTCGGATGGGGCCAGAGGGATCACAAAGTGCCCCATATGGGGCCAGAGGGATCACAAAGTGCCCCATATGGGGCCAGAGGGATCACAAAGTGCCCCATATGGGGCCAGAGGGATCACAAAGTGCCCCATATGGGGCCAGAGGGATCACAAAGTGCCCCACGTGAGGGATGGGGCAGGAAGCGCCCAGAAGCAGCCCCTGCCCAAGCACCCTCTGGGTGGTGCAGAACGGTCCCGGGGCCATGCGGGTGTCTCTTGGCCATGATAACGGGGAAGGGACCCAGTTGTGCATCGCCTCTTCCCATTCCGGGTGCTGGGGCACCAGTACGGATGGAGCCGTGCCCCTGGGCTGCTCAGGGCACGGTGCCACAGCGGGGATGTCCCAGGGCAGCTCAGCCCCGGGGCCAGCCCAGCCCAGGCCCTGCACAAAGGCTTTAGCCCTGAAATCCGGCACCCTGCGGTTGGCTGCTGCACCCATGGGAGGCGCTTTGGGCACAGGGCCCTGGAGCCAACACCCAGCGCCCCGAGCCTGGTGCCTGCCACGCAGCACCCGGTGCGCACCCAGCCCCAGGCTCTGGCAGCTCCCAGCAGGTCCCTCCCCTGGCCAAAGTCTGCCTGAGGCGTCTCCGATGCAGGGCCAGGGCTGCCGACAGAACCAGCTCCGGGAGCACCCCGGTGCCGGTGCCGGCGCCGGTGCCCTGCTCCCGGCTTGTGCCGAGGCTTTGCCCCGGGCCCCAGCAGCAGCCCCACACCGGGCTCACCGTGATGGTGCCATGGGGGGAAGCAGCACGGGCAGAGCATCCCCACACCCCAGCCCTGCTCACCTGCGTGCTCTTGCCGGTGCCCGCGGGCCCGGACACCAGGATGATGCCGCTGGTGCCCTCCAAGTGCTCCATGAAGCTGTACTTGGTGCTCCAGACGGGCAGGTCCCGGCGCTGCCGCAGCAGCTCGTAGTAGCGGGAGGAGAAGGGGAGCCCATCGTAGGGGTTCACCTCCAGGTCGCCATCGCAGCCCAGCGCCGGCTCCTCCTCCTCATCCTCCTCCTCCGCCAGCGCGGGGCCGGACCCCGGGGCCCCGTTGCCGGCCATGGCGAGGACACGGCGCCGGGGCTGCAGGGGTGGGGAGGTGGAGCGGGGCCGGGCCGGGGCTGAACCCCCTCGGCCGCGTCTCTCGGAGGAGCGCGGTGCTGCCCCCGGCCCGTTACACCGGGGGGGACCTGCGGGGCACAGGGACCCGGGCACGGACAGGGAGGGAACCCGGCTGGGGTGCGGGGACCGGGGGAACGCAGGTGGGGAACCGCGATGGGCTCTGTACGGGAACCGGGCCGGGGCGCGGGGCAGCGCGGACCCCTCGGGGGCAGGCGGACAGCCCGGGGCCGGCCCCGGCAGAACAGAACGGGCCGGGCGGGGGGACAGCGGTGAGGGACGGACCGGGAGGGGCACAGAGCACCGGGACCGGACAGGTCGGGGCCGGGTGTCCCGGGTCAGCACCTCCGAACCGTGGCTCCGGTTCCGGTTCCGGTTCCGGTTCGGGCCTGTCCCGGCCACCGCTCACCTGCGCGCGCCACCGCCGCCTCGGGCCCAGCCGCGGGAGGCGGTCAGGTGACGGCGCCGCCGTCACGTGGGCCTGCCCGCGGCAGCCAATCAGAGCTCAGGGGCGGAGCCCAACGGCCGGTGGGCGCGCGCCCCGGTGCGTGCGTGATCGGAGGGACCGGAGGGACCCGATCCCGGCGCGATCTTTGTCGGAGCCCGCGCCGAGCCCGCACCGAGCCCGCACCGAGCCCTACCTCCAGGCGCGCCCCCCCGCCGCCGTTCCTCCGCCGCAGGCCCGGAGCGCGGCCCGGCCCTGGGGGAGGTGGTATCCCCGTGCTGCTCCGCGCATCCCGGTGCCGGTGCGGGGCAACCCGGTACCGGGCATCCCAGTGCCGGTCCGAGCGTCCCGGTGCCGGTCCGGTTATCCCAGATCCGGTGTTGGGCATCCCCCTGCCGGTCCGAGCGTCCCGGTGCCGGTCCGGTTATCCCAGTTTCGGTGTTGGGCATCCCGCTGCCGGTCCGAGCGTCCTGGTGCCGGTGCTGTACGTCCGGTGCCCGGGACCCACGCCCGGAGCGGGCGCTCTCCGCTGGCGGTGGCTCCCGGCGTGCGGCGGCGGGGCCGGCAGGGGGAGCTGCCAGACCGGCAACGGCCCGGCTGGGGCACGGAGCTCCCGCCGGGGCGGGGGGCAGCGGGCAGGGACCGGGCGGTTCCTTGCGGGCCCCGGGGCTTCGGCACCGGCAGCCGCTGGGAGGTGTCCGCGATCCCCGGCTGCCGGCGGGGAGGGATGCTCTGGGCCTGGCTGCCGTTACCGGTGACAGCTCTGCCCCGCTGTGGCTCGCACCGGCTCCAGCCGCAGCTCCCCAAGTGCAAGGAGCCTGGGTCAGGGCGATCCAGAGCACAAACCCAGGCTGGGGGTGAAGGGATGGAGCAGCCCTGAGGAGGAGGACTTGGGGGTGCTGGGTGAAGAGGAGCCCCCCATGACCCGGCTTCAGTGAGCGCTTGAGCCCAGAGCCCCCCCATGTGCAGGGTGCACCCCCAGAGCGTGAGCAGCAGCGCAGGGAGGGGATCCTGCCCCTCTGCTGCGCTATGGGGAGCCCCCCCTGCAGCCCTGATCCAGGCACAGGAGGGACGTGGAGCTGCTGGAGCGAGGCCGTGGGGATGCTGCGAGGGCTGGGGCAGCTCTGCTCTGCAGCCAGGCTGAGGAGCAGGCTCGGGCTGGGGGGGTCAGCACAGGGGAAGGAGCCTGGCGCTGCCTCAAGGCTCCGGTGCAGAGGGGGGAGCTGCAGCCCGGCCTGGGCAGGTCCTGGGGCCGGGGCTCCTGAGGCTTTGGGGGGGAGAGGGCCCGGGCAGAGCCGGTGCGGGGCGAGCATCCGGTCCCCGTGGCCAGCGGGGGTGCAGCCGGCGGGAGGAAGGAAGTGGTTGGTGCTGAACCCTTGCTTCACTCCCGGTCCCGGTGCTGCCGGGAGCTCAGGGCTGGGCACCAGCGCACGGAGCCCTGGGTGCTGCCCTGCACCCCCCCGGTACCGTTGAGCCCTGTGCACCGAGGGGTGGGATCCCAGCGGGGATCCTCGAGTGGCTGGAGAGAGACTTCTGACAGGGACCTGTAGGGCCAGGCCAAGGGGAATGGCTTGAACCTGCCCGAGGGGAGACTGAGCTGAGCTCTGAGGCAGAAGCTCTTCCCTGTGAGGGTGCTGAGGCGCTGGCACAGGGTGCCCAGAGAAGCTGTGGCTGCCCCATCCCTGGCAGTGCTCAAGGCCAGGTTGGACACAGGGGCTTGGAGCAAGCTGCTCCAGTGGAAGGGGTCACTGGGGCTGGAGGAGCTTTAAGCTCCTTTCAATACAAACCAGTCTGGGGTTCTGTGATGAACAGCGTTAGGTGCTGGGAGCCTTAATGGCTCCTTGTGGCCACTGAGGACAAGGTCACAGTCCCAGGTACCTCCGGAGTACCGGGTAGGATGCAGTGGGATGGGATGAGCTGCAAGTCCACCGTGGAGCCGAAGCGAACCAGCTTCAGATGAGGCTTGTTGGGTTGAGTTGTGTGCCTTTAGCTGTGTAACGGGGCAGTGGATTCCCTCCCTGGAGCTTTCTCACCAGGGCTCAGCGTTGCCCCAAAACCCACTCCATGGAGGGGGAAGGTGATGACCCCATGAAGGGAAGTTGCAGCCCAGTGCAGACGCTGTGCTGGTCCCATCCATCCTGTTGGTCCCAGCCCTGCCCAGTGCTCCCAGTGCTCCCAGTGCTCCCAGTGCTGCCAGCCACCCCCGTGTTGCCCGCAGAATGCCGGGAGCCGTTGCTGCAGGTGGCCGTGCCGCTGCTGCAGGACCTGATGGAGAAGGGGGAGGAGGACAAGGCCTGCATTGAGCTGCTCAGCAGCATCCTGGAGGTGCTGCACCAGGCCCAGAAGGTAAATCCCATCCCCTCCCCTCCTTTCCCTCCCCAGTCATCACCCTGCAGTGACCTGAAAACCCCTTTGAGAAGGGTTGAGCAGGAGCCACTGGCCTGGGTATGGTTGGGGCTGGTGTTGGTTACCCAGAGTCAAAGGGGGCTGTTGGTGGCCACTGTCCCACTGGGAACCTGCCCACAATGGGGGGGGAAACCCATTTGATTCCACCTCAGCTGCTCTCCAAAGAGCTCCCCAGCAATGGGGGAGGTGGAAAAGGCTCCTCCAAGGGATCAGGGGCTGCAGCACCAACCGTGCCTCTCACTGCCCCTGCTCTGCACACCGGGAGGACGGTGAGGGCAGGGAGAAGGTCCCTGGGCACCGCTGCACTCCAGGGTCAGCAGTGATGGACCTAAACGTGCCCCATGGGCCCTGCAGCAGGGAGCAACCCATGCCCCAGAGCCCCTGCCCAGTGCCAAAGGGACAAACCCCGCTGCCTGGGTGCCTGAGCGCCCGGATGTGCCCCATCCTCGATGCCTCCCATGGGCCAGCGCTGTCTGTGCTGGCACCGGCCCCACATCCCGGATCTGTTCATTGCAGAGAGCGGAGGAGCTGGAGGCGCAACCGGGCCCAGGCGAGGAGCAGCACCAGGAGCTGGTGAGTGCTGTGCTTGGCTCCAGTGCCTGACACAGTGTGAGGGGTCAGGAAGGGTTGGCCTGCATCCCACTATGGTGACAAACCCACACAGTCACCCAGAGCCAGAGCTGCTGCACTGATGCTGCAGGGATGCTGCAGTGTGGGACCAGTGGGGCTTACTGGGATCCCCCAGCACCCCCTGTCCTGCCCTGAGGGGGGTCTGGACCCAGACCTACACCCAGGCCCCATGGACTTGGTGCTGTGCTGTGCACTGGTGCGTGCCTGGGCTGCAGCACACCCAGGTGCTAGGGGCACATGGACACGGCTGTGGTGCTGGAGCAGGGCTGGGGATGAAGGTTGGTTTTGTTACAGCACAGGAAGGATAAAGCAGCACTGGGGGATGCTGGGTTTCATCACTGCAGTGCCAGGCTGATGTACCAGGGTGCCAGGGGTGTCCATACCTCAGTGGCCATCCCCCTTGCCCCATTGGATATAAGGAAGAAGCTCTTTCCTGTGAGGGTGCTGAGGCACTGGAATGGGTGCCCAGGGAGGTTGGGAATGCTCCATCCCTGGCAGTGTTCAAGGCCAGGTTGGACAGAGCCTTGGGTGCCATGGGTTAGTGTGAGGTGTCCCTGCCCATGGCAGGGGTTGGAACTGGATGATCCCAAGCTCCTTTCCAACCCAAACCATTCTATGGTTCTGTGTTGCCTGGGTGCTCCCCCCATCCCAGGCCTATCTACAGCCACCCGCTGCCCCCCGGAGGCAGCAGTAACTGCCCCGCACACGTGGCCGGTGCCCCCAGCCCCGGGACCGCAGGAGCCGTGCGCCGGTGCCGCGGTTCCCATCAGCCCGGTGCCGGTGCCGCGGTTCCCATCAGCCCGGTGCCGGTGTTGCGGTTCCCATCAGCCCAGTGCCGGTGCCACGGTGCCAGTGCCGCGGTTCCCATCAGCCCGGTGCCGGTGTTGCGGTTCCCATCAGCCCAGTGCCGGTGCCACGGTGCCAGTGCCGCGGTTCCCATCAGCCCGGTGCCGGTGTTGCGGTGCCGGTGCCTCGCTTCCCATCAGCCCGGTGCCGGTGCCTCGGTTCCCATCAGCCCGGTGCCGGTGCCGCGGTGCCGGTGCCTCGGTTCCCATCAGCCCGGTGCCGGTGCCACCGCCCGCCCGCTCCCTCCGGGCCCCGCGGCCTCATGCGCGGCCCCGACGCCCCTTCCCTCGCAGGTGCGGGTGAAGCCGCACGTCCGGCTGGTCCTGGAGCGCCTCCTGCACCCCGTCACCCGCAGGGTCATCGTCCTGGACCGCCAGAGCTCCCTGCGGGTGAGTCCGAGCCTCGGGGCTGCTCCGTGCGGGGTTGGACGCGGCAGGATGCGGGAGGGAAGGGGAGCAGCGCCGGGAGCAGCTCTGGAGCGGGGGGGGGCGGCATTGGGGGGAGCAGGCAGAGCCCGAGGGGCTGGAAGCCCCTTCTGGGGAGCAGAGGAGGGCTCGGGCTGTGCTCTGTAGGGAACAGGCGGCTGGACCCGGTGAGCGGTCACAGGCTCATGTGCCAAGAGCTCCCCGGCTTCCAGCACTGACCCAGCACGAAGGAGGGGACGGGAGCTGTGGCCAGGGTGGCTCCACGGGCACCGATGGGACGTGGGGCAGAGCCAGCGCGCTCCTGTGTGCCCGGTGAGCTGCTGCGGGACACGGGGAACCGCGTCCGGTGTTCCCAGAGCCCGGGGGGAGCAATGGGACTGGGCAGCAGTGGGGAATTGCTGTGCCATGGGGAAGCTCCGTGCCGTGGGGAATTGCTGTGCCATGGGGCAGGGCAGTGCCGTGGGGCAGTACCGTGTCGTGGGGCAGTGCTGTGCAGTGCAGTGCTGTGCTGTGCAGTGCTGTGCAGTGCTGTGTTGCGCCGTGCCATGGGGAATTGCTGTGCCGTGGGGCAGTGCAGTGCCGTGGGGCAGGGCAGTGTAGTGCAGTGCTGTGCTGTGCAGTGCTGTGCAGTGCAGTGCAGTGCAGTGCTATGCTGTGCTGTGCTGTACTGTGCTGTGACCGGGGAGGTGTCGGGCATCCGGAGCAGCACCTCAGCCCCTTGCCTTGAGCCTCGCCGGGTTAAGGCTCCTCTTTGCCACCCTGCTTTGTCGTTGCCCCTGGAGACCCGACCGAAGGAGGTGCTGCACGGGGATGGAAGCTCTCCCCTCCCTGATGGGTGTTGGGAACAGGTCTCGCAGGGACCATTGTCCTGGTGCACTCAGTGCCTGTGGTTACTGCAGGCTGACTGAGTACCAGGGGGCAATCGGTGCTCTGGGGCACAGGGATGGGCACCGGGAGCACTGCGGCTGTTGGTGGCACTTGGGGAGCCCCAAGCCTGGGGCTGGGTGAGCGCTGCAGGGGAAGAGCCCTGAGCCCCATCCTCATCCTCAGCCCCATCCTCATCCTCAGCCCCATCCTCATCCTCATCCTCAGCCCCATCCTCATCCTCAGCCCCATCCTCATCCTCAGCCCCATCCTCATCCTCAGCCCCATCCTCATCCTCAGCCCCATCCTCATCCTCATCCTCAGCCCCATCCTCACCCTCAGCCCCATCCTCATCCTCAGCCCCATCCTCATCCTCAGCCCCATTCTCATCCTCAGCCCCATCCTCATCCTCAGCCCCATCCTCATCCTCAGCCCCATCCTCATCCTCAGCCCCATCCTCATCCTCATCCCACCCCGAACAGAAGCGCTCAGTGGAGAGGATGTAACAAAAATAGTGTCCCCATGGGGTTTATTGAGTTCCCATCAGACACCGGCCCCGGCCCCTCGCCCTGGTGCCCCACCAGGTCACGCACCCAGTTTACAGACCTGGCTGGCTCCACAGGGGCTTCATTGCTCTGAACCAAGGGTTAGAAATAGAAAAGCTGGTGCTACCGAACCCTGCCGGAGCAGGGGACCAGGGCAGGGCTGGGGCTGGGCCGTGCCCGCTCACAGGAACCAGAAGCATTTCCGCCGGTGTTTCTTGGGGTCCAGCTTCAGGGGCGGCCTCAGCCCCGGTGACGGCTCCTGGTGCGGCGGCACCGCAGCGCCCACCGCAGGCTCCGGGGAGCCGGGGGCCACGGCCACGTCCATGTGGCTCAGGACCCGCTGGAAGCGGCCCTCCTGCTGCCGGAAATCGTGCTCCACGCTGCGGGAACGGGGGGGCAGCGTCAGTGCCCCTGCATGGACCCCCCCATGAGCCTGTGCCCCACTGCCACCTCCCTCCCTGCATCCCCCCGTGCTCAGCCCCGCACACGCCGCCAGCCCCACTGCGCGCCCAGGGATGCGTGGGGTTGGGGGTGCAGGACCCGTCCTGCTGCAGCGCTGCTGGCCTGTGGCTGTTGGGAATGGCTGACCCCGGGTGAAGGGGCCTTGCACAGGAGCAGCCGCTGGTGGGAGCCTGGGGAGCAGAGTCCCCCTGTGGAGTGTTCATCATGGACCATGGGGATGCAAGGAACCGGGTGCCCTGGGTCTGTCTGGGCAGGGGAAGCTGGGGCTGTGCCCCCACTGCAGCCCTGAGGCTTCCTGAGAGCGCTGGAGCCCCCCGGCATTCCCGCACCCACAGGGACACAGCCGTGGGGTGCTCACATTCACATGGACACAGCCGTGGGGTGCTCACATTTACATGGACACAGCCGTGGGGTGCTCACATCCAGATGGACACAGCCGTGGGGTGCTCACATTCACATGGACACAGCCGTGGGGTGCTCACATTCACATGGACACAGCCGTGGGGTGCCCGCACCCACAGGGACACAGCCGTGGGGTGCCCGCACCCACATGGACACCGCCGTGGGGTGCCCGCACCCACACAGCACCCGATAGCTCCGGGGACAGCGAGCCCCGTGGTGACCCCAGTGCTCCCCATGTTCTCCTGCACCTTTTCCCTTTGAGCTCCCTGCAACGGCCTTTGCCAGGGTCAGGACCCGGCTCGGGAGGTCTCTGCTGACCCCACGCAGCCGGGTTTGTGTCCTAAGGTGCTGGGGGGGGCTCTGGCACCAGGGAGGGCCAACAGAGGGGAAGCCGCTCCTGTGTTAGTGCCGTGTCCCTTGGGTGTGCACAGGATGAGAGCCCGCAGCCCCTCGCGACCACAGGGAGAGATGGGCACAGGCAGGTCCCCTCCGTCCCCAGCAGCGAGCCCCAGTGCCTCTGTCCCGGAGCGCCAGCAGGAGCCTGCGGGACGCAGGAGAGCAGGAATCCCCCGGGAACGGGCAGGGGGCCGGGGCGGGCTCGTACCTGTAGATGATGCAGGCGCAGTCCCGGCAGGTCCCGCAGTTGGCGATGTCTTGTCCGGTCCGGTACGAGCGTCGCCTGCGGCAGAGCAGAGGCGCTGTGAGCCCGGAGAGCAGCCGGGAGCTGGGACCGGCACCCCCGATCCCGGTTCCTCTCCCCCCTGATCCCGGTTCCTGTCCCCCCGATCCCGGCTCCTCTGCCCCCTGATCCCGGTTCCTCTCCTCTCTGATCCCGGTTCCTCTGCCCCCTGATCCCGGTTCCTCTCCTCCCTGATCCCGGCTCCTCTCACCCCTGATCCCGGCTCCTCTCCTCCCTGATCCCGGCTCCTCTCCTCCCTGATCCCGGCTCCTCTCCTCCCTGACCCCGGTTCCTCTCCTCCCTGATCCCGGCTCCTCTCCCCCCTGATCCCGGCTCCTCTCCTCTCTGATCCCGGCTCCTGTCCCCGCTGATCCCGGCTCCTCTCCTGCCTGATCCCGGCTCCTCTCCTCCCTGATCCCGGTTCCTCTCCCTCCTGATCCCGGCTCCCCTCCTGGATCCCAGCTCCTCTCCTCCCTGATCCCAGCTCCTCTCCCCCCTGATCCCGGCTCCTCTCCTCCCTCATCCCGGCTCCTCTCCTCTCTGATCCCGGCTCCTCTCCCCCCTGATCCCGGCTCCCCTCCTGGATCCCAGCTCCTCTCCTCCCTGATCCCGCTCCTCTCCCCCCTGATCCCGGCTCCCCTCCTGGATCCCAGCTCCTCTCCTCCCTGATCCCGGCTCCTCTCCTCCCTGATCCCGGCTCCTCTCCTCTCTGATCCCGGCTCCTCTCCCCCCTGATCCCGGCTCCTCTCCTCTCTGATCCCGGCTCCTCTCCCCCCTGATCCCGGCTCCTCTCCTCCCTGATCCCGGCTCCTCTCCTCCCTGATCCCGGCTCCTGTCCCCGCTGATCCCGGCTCCTCTCCCCCCTGATCCCGGCTCCTCTCCTCCCTCATCCCGGCTCCTCTCCTCCCTCATCCCGGCTCCTCTCCTCCCTGATCCCGGCTCTTCTCCTCCCTGATCCCGGCTCCTGTCCCCCCTGATCCCGGCTCCTCTCCTCCCTGATCCCGGCTCCTCTCCCCCCTGATCCCGGCTCCTCTGCCCCCTGATCCCGGCTCCTCTGCCCCCTGTTCCCGGCTCCTCTCCTCCCTCATCCCGGCTCCTCTCCCCCTGATCCCGGCTCCTCTCCTCCCTGATCCCGGCTCCTCTCCTCCCTCATCCCGGCTCCCCCCTCCCAGGCGGGCTCCTCCCTGATCCCGGCTCCTCTCCCCCTGATCCCGGCTCCTCTCCTCCCTGATCCCGGCTCCTCTCCCCCCTGATCCCGGCTCCTCTCCTCCCTGATCCCAGCTCCTCTCCCCCCTGATCCCGGCTCCCCTCCTGGATCCCAGCTCCTCTCCTCCTGCGATGCTGGTCAGTGCCAGACCGAACGCGATGGTGCCTCAGCAGTCATGAGCAGGGCAGAAGCCCTGAATCCTTCACGCTGTGTCCGCCTCCTTTCATCCCCATCCCAGAGCTGGGCCTTGTGCCGGGGCCCCCCCCGGTCTCTGTGTGTGTCCCCACGCACGGCACCAGGGCAGGAGCGGGGGCACTGGCAGCAGAGCAGTGCTCTGGCAGATGGGCAGAGCCTCATCCAGCCCACACCACACCCGGGGTTTGCATCTTTTGGATGCTTTTGGACTGGAGAAGCATCCAGGGAAGGACTCAGGACTGGGATGAAGCCGAAGCTCTCTCTGGTGCCCAACTGCTCTGGAGCCAGGCTGGGAGAGCTGGGCTGGGGCAGCTGGAGAAGAGAAGGCTCCTGAAGGGGAGACCTTAGAGCAGCTCCAGTGCCTAAAAGGGCTGCAGGAAAGCTGGAGAGGGGCTTGGGACAAGGGGAATGGCTTGAACCTGCCCGAGGGGAGACTGAGCTGAGCTCTTAGGCAGAAGCTCTTCCCTGTGAGGGTGCTGAGGCGCTGGCACAGGGTGCCCAGAGAAGCTGTGGCTGCCCCATCCCTGGCAGTGCTCAAGGCCAGGTTGGACACAGGGGCTTGGAGCTGCTCCAGTGGAAGGGGTCCCTGCCCTGGCAGGGGTTGGAGCTGGAGGAGCTGTAAGGTCCCTTCAACCCAAACCAGTCTGGGAGTCTGTGATTCTATGGTAAGAGTGCTCTGAAATGCTTCTGGTCACCTCTGCAGGCTCCATCTCCCCTCCTGCGCAGAGCAGGCTGCAACTTTTGGGGGGACAGCTGAGAATCCCCCCCCTGTCCCACATTGTAGTCCCATTATCCTGTTTCAGGCTCCCTCCTGTTCCTTGACCTTGATCTTGATTGTTCTCAGCCCTCAGGAACTAGGTCTTAATGCACCAAATTATGTGGTACATTGGGGATTTCCTGTTAGCACATAAATTAGATCATGATACTTTTATATAGACACATGGTGCATAAATCAGTGTGTGTTAGGGATATCCAGTGCGCAGCCAGCACCTCACCCAGGAGAGAGCAGGATAGGGGTTCGGGGTGGGATGCTGCTGGCTGTAGGTGCTGCTCTATGGAAGGTGTCCCTGCTCATGGCAGGGGGCTGGAGCTGGGAGAGCTTTAAAGCCCCTTGCAACCTACACACTGCTCTTTGCTTCCCTATGAGGAGCGGGGACAGGAGCTGCCCGGGCACTGGGCACTGGTTTCACCCCTGCAGTTACAGCCAGCCCAGGCTTCATCCGGTTCCATGAGCACATCCTTGCTCTGTCCCAGTGGGATCCAGGTGCCTCAGAACAGGGGAGTAAGCTCCAGAGGCTTTACTGGCCGGGGCCAGGTCTGCATGGGGTGAGCGGCTCCTGGCACCTCCTGGCGGGTTCGTGGCTCTTGTGGGAGGTGGGTTTGGAGGCTCTCAGCTCTGGGCCATCACAGACCTATCTCTAACACCATGGAGCAGGTCCTGTGCAGGGCAGGGGGGGTGAGGGCGGGGGGCACCTCCCCAGGGCACAGAGCCATCACCAGCCGATAAAGCTGTGCCATGGGTAACTCAAGGGTGGGTGAGAGCAGGCTGAGAACAGAGGTGGCTCCTAGGGCATCTGCCATGGGCAGGCTGAGCCTGAAGGTGGGAGGTTCCAGTATAGGCTGGGGAACGACCCCTTAGAGAGCAGCGTAGGGGAGAGGGACCTGGGGATCCTATGGACGACAGGGTGACCATGAGCCGACACTGTGCCCTTGTGGCCAAGAGGGCCAATGGCATCCTGGGGTGCATTAGAAGGGGGGTGGTTAGTAGGTCCAGAGAGGTCCCCTTTCCCCTCTACTCTGCCCTGGTGAGACCCCATCTGGAATACTGGGTCCAGTTCTGGGCCCCTCAGTTCAAGAAGGACAGGGACCTGCTGGAGAGAGTCCAGCGCAGGGCAGCTGAGATGATGAAGGGAGTGGAGCATCTCCCTTATGAGAGAGACTGAGGGAGCTGGGTCTCTATAGTTTGGAGAAGAGTAGACTGAGGGGTGACCTTATTAGTGCATATAAATATATAAAGGGGGAGTGTCCCGAGGATGGAGCCAGGCTCTTCTCAGTGGCAAACAATGATAGGACAAGGGGCAATGGGGACAAACTGGAACACAAGAGGTTCCAGTTAAACTTCTTCTCAGTGAGGGTGACAGAACACTGGACCAGGCTGCCCAGGGAGGTTGTGGGGTCTCCTTCTCTGGAGACATTCAAAACCCGCCTGGACACGTTCCTGTGTAACCTTATCTGGGTGTTCCTGCTCTGCAGGGGGATTGGACTGGATGATCTTATGAGGTCCCTTCTAATCTCTACCATACTGTGATACTGGGACACTGTGAAGTGACATCCCGGTTCCCATTCCCAGTGCCCGATGGGCGCATCAGCTGCTCCAGAGCAGGGCAGGGACACAGCTTCCATTGTCCCCATGGCTGCATCCCTCCCCGTGTCCCTGGCATGGGCAGAACAAGCCAGAGACCTTGTACCAAGACCTGGTGCCACCCGCACAGGGATGGCAGCTCTGAGTTAACTCACGTGGGAGGGGGCAGCACCCAGCGCTGTGTCAGGACGCCCCTGTCCCCGTTCCGAGCCCTGCATGGACCTCAGCCCCCCAGGCCCCCCTCCAGCCCTGCGGGCTCACCCGTCCCGCTGCGCCTCCTTCCTCTCCAGGTCCTGGATGACGTCCAGCAGCACTCGGATGGTCTGTTGGCTGGTCTCCAGCACCCCCTCCAGGGACTGCAGCTGGGACTGCAGGGCCCCGCGCTCCCCGGGCCCCGCTCCCTGAGCCGTCCGCGCCTCCTCGTCCCCCGCGGGGGGTCCCTTGCTCACCACCACGAGCTGCAGGAGGTCCTGGACGTGGCGCAGCGTCTCTGACTGCTGCGGGCTGAGGCAGCCCCGGGGCAGCTCCGGTGCCCGCCCGGGCGGCTGCGTCCCCAGCGGTGCCCCGCGTCCCTGCGGTGCTGCGGAGCCGGGCCCAGGCTCGCTGCGGGTGCCGCGGGGCTCCGGCCGGGGCGGTGCCGCGGGGGCTGGTGACAGGGGGTCTGCAGAGGAGCAGCAGGGGCCCCCCCAGGGCGAGCCGCAGAGCTGGTGCTGGGGGGTCGGGGGAGTGCCCTGAGCTGGCTGCTGGAGGCCGGGGATGCCCGTGGCAGGGATGGTGGACGGGTGGCACGGCTGGGGCTGGGGGTGCCCCTGAGGCAGGGGCCGGGGATGCCCGAGGGGCTGGGGCTGCCCATGGGGCAGTGGCTGAGGGTGCTCAAGGGGCTGGAGGTGCCCGTGGGGCAAGGCCTGAGGGTGCTGGATGGGCAGGGGCTGGGGGTGCCCGAGGGACTGGGGTTGCCCGTGGGGCAGGGGCTGGGGGTGCTCAAGGGGCTGGGGGTGCTGGATGGGCAGGGGCTGCCCATGGGACAGGGGCTGAAGGTGCTGGATGGGCAGGGGCTGGGGGTGTCCGAGGGGCAGGGGCTGCCCATGGGACAGGGGCTGAAGGTGCTCAAGGGGCTGGGGGTGCTGGATGGGCAGGGGCTGGGGGTGCTCAAGGGGCTGGAGGTGCCCGATGGGCAGGGGCTGGGGGTGTCCGAGGGACTGGGGTTGCCCGTGGGGCAAGGGCTGAGGGTGCTCAAGGGGCTGGAGGTGCCCGTGGGGCAAGGGCTGAGGGTGCTGGATGGGCATCAGAGGCTCACCCTGGCTACAAATGGCCAGCAATAAGTTATTTGAAATACATGCTTCCTGATAACACAACATGTACTTTAGATTGTTGTGAGGAATCTACTCCACTGCATCCAATCACTCTTGGCTTCCTGGCCTCTGCACTGAACAACTTGGGCAGTCAGTCATATGACATAATAATAAAAATGAAAAATAACCTCTAGCCTTGTGCCGGATGTGGAGAATGCTGTTAAAAAGCATAGCAAGCAAGAGATCAGGCAAGTGTCTGACAATGACATTTCTCTGTAAATAACCAAAAGCGTCATCACCTTTCCAAACCTTGCATGGGATTTGCTGAAGGCCAAAGGCCCCCGTGCCTTAGCCCTGTGCTCTCACTTGCTGCAGAGCTGGCAGCACTCTGCTCCCACCAGCAGGGCTCTGCCTTCCCACACAGGTGGAAGATGGCTCCTACATGCCTTTCTGCAGTGCGTATTCCACTACAGTCAAGGGCTCCCTGCAGCCAGTACTGGTGCCTAGCTGTGTTTTTATTTCCACACAGAATCTTCTCTTGTGGTGACGGCACACAACCCACACCCCATGAGTACCGAGCACCTTCTGCTCTTCCCCTACAGAAGCATGAGGAATGAAAACCGGTGCTATACAGTGCTGTCACTCCTCCCTATCCCTTATGCATGGCAGCCACAAGATGGCCTCTTCCAAGGGCCTCCTGCTGCCACACAAGATGGCCTCCTCTCTGGTCCTCATGCTGCTGCACAGGGTGGTCTTCCCACTGGGCCTCCTTCTGCACAGGGATATGTGTTGTTTCGTAGTTTTTTAAGCTATTTAAGCGTTTCTTTGCAAATACAGGAATGCAATGGCTTCTTGACAGCACAGCTGTGTAAAAGATACGCTCTGGTCCCTACACAGCCCCTCTGTGGGTGGCCTCTGAAGCAGCAGCAAGGTGCATTCATAGCAGAACTGTGGCCCATGCTGGGAGCCAGGCACCCCACTAGCAGACCCTTCTTTATTTGGGGTGCACACCAGCGAGCAAAGTGCTGTTACACTGCCTCTGGGCACACTGCCTTCGGACAACTGCTGGGTGCCATGGTGCTGACCAGGACAGTGCAGCTCCCCTGCGGGATTGGGCTCTTGGGAAAGGAACATCCGTGGAGAGCCCAGAGCTCCTTCAACACCCTGCCCCAGCATCAAACCTGGGCCACCTCTGGGAACAGAAAATGGGAAAAGGAAAAAAAAAGGGAGGGGGGGGAAGGAGGAAAAAATGCAAGTCTTACAGAAACACCACTCTTCGCAACAACCCCACAGCACACGGCGCAGCTCCCAGGACCGTGGAGGGTCGACGGCCGCCGCACCACCGCCAGCCCCGGCTCCGCCTGGCTGGGCTCGGCCGC